CAATCTCGATCTCGCGCGATCTCGGCTGTCGCGCACTGGATCGTGGCGATGGTGCGCGGTATGGAAGGGTGCAAGACCCGACCCATCCCGCTGTCGTCCGAGAGGAAGAGCTCGGTGCCCTCCACGCCCTTCTCGAGCTTGACGAAGATCTTTGAGACGACGAGCGGCGCCTGAGTGGCCGGGGAGGAGAGGGGGAGGGGGAGCCGGAGATGTGGCCGAGATACGGCTCGAGCTGCACGGAGATTGCTGCACAGGACGAGGGGCGCCGCGGTGCAATCTCGGGCAATCTCGGGTCCTCTCGACGCGCCTCGGTGTATGACGTCACCGTCACCGGCAGAGTGGCGGGCGAGGAGCGCGAAGTGAGAGTGCCGAAGGAGAGCTCTCGCCGCTCGTGGTGCAGTCCGCCGCGCGCGACAACCACCTCCATCGGGATCGTGAGGGCGACCTGCAGGCACAGGCCGCTGCTGCTCAGCCTCGCCCCTCCCTGGGCAGCGCCTGGGCAGCGCCAGGCGTCTGGTCGGGGCGTGTGCAGGTCGGGGGCGTGCGGTCGCGCGCCTTTTCGGACCGCACGTGCACGTACCCCCAGTACGTGCCTACAGGGGGAGGGCTCCGAGGCGGCTCCGAGGCGGCGTAGGGAAGAGCGTGCGCACGTGCCCCTCCAGTGCGGCTGCCGGAGGAGGAGGCGCGGAACACGACGCGGGCGAGGACGCGCGCCTGAGGACGAGATGTGGGGGAGATAGGGGGGAGATATGGACGAGATAGGGGGAGATGTGGGGGAGATATGGGGGAGATGTGGGGGAGATGTGGGGGAGATGTGGGGGAGATGTGGGGACCCGCGCCTGAGGTCGACCTCCAACCGTCACTCCACCCATGCTTCGGGCGGAGGCTGGGGGGAGCGCGAGCCTCGCCCGGCGGGGCGCTCCTCTCGGCTCCTCTCGGCTCCTCTCGGCTCCTCTCGGCTCCTCTCGGCTCCTCTCGGCTCCTCTCGGCTCCTCTCGGCTCCTCTCGGCTCCTCTCGGCTCCTCTCGGCTCCTCTCGGCTCCTCTCGGCTCCTCTCGGCTCCTCTCGGCTCCTCTCGGCTCCTCTCGGCTCCTCTCGGCTCCTCTCGGCTCCTCTCGGCTCCTCTCGGCTCCTCTCGGCTCATCTCGGCTCATCTCGGCTCATCTCGCGAGCCTCGCCCGGCGGGACGCGCCACCGCTTCTGCGCGTCGGGCGAGAAGTGCCTGGGAAACAGGGGGCCGGGGGGGGAGGGCGTCAGCAGGGAGGGGCGCAGGCGCGGCGGTGTCGGGCGAGTTGCGGCGCTGCCCGTCGTCGCCGTCCGGCATGGCGAGGTGCATGAAGGACTCGGAGGTGTAGATCTCCTTGACGGCGAGGTGCTCTGCCACGTGCGGGTTGAAAATTCGGATCGGAGGGCGGAAGGACGCCTCGACGGGCACACGGACCTGCGGCGCAGCAGGCGGAGGCTGCAGGGCCGCGGGGTGTGGTTGCGGTGGCGGCGCGGCGAGAGCGGGTGTGCGGCAGCGAGGACCAGGTGTGTGTGTGTGTGTGTGTGTGTGATGTGGGACGGCACAGATCACCCTCATGCCACCACCCTCCCTCCTCCTGTGTGCCCCCTCCTTCCCTCCTTCCGTGCGAGGCCGCAGCGGTACGCCCCGTGCGGGCGTCAGCAGGAGCAGTCTGTGTGGCACTGCAGGACGAGAAACTGCGGCACTGCGAGCGAAAGTGCTGCGAGGCAAGTGCGCTCACCCCGAGGAGTGGAGCGACGCGGTACGGGGACTCGACGCCGTGGCCAGTCATGGTGCGGACGTAGACGCCGGTCGACGTGGAGACGCGCATCGTGCTGTTCACCGGCCCCAGCAGCCGAGGGAGGAAGAGGACGGAGATGTTGACGCGCGCTCCAGGCGAGAGGGTGATCGGCTTGAATTGAGGGCCGTGGAAGTGGACGTTGTCGGTGGAGACGGAGAGGACCTCGAGGTCGACGCTCCCCGCGTTGAGCATCTCCGTCCGCGCAAACACCGCCTCACACAGCGGCCGCTTTCCAAACTGCAGGCGGCGGGCGGGCAGGGGAGGAGGCGGTGGCGGCGGCGAGGAGGGAAGCGATTGAAGGGTGTGCTGCTAGGGCCGCGCTGGCAGCAGGCCGAGAGCGTCGCGCAGCGTCTCGGAGGTGCCGCAGAAGTGTCGGCTCACCTCAAAGTCCGTCCCCTCAAACCGGAGAGAGAGCGAGTCCGACGGAGGCTGATCCGCGAGGTCGGGCGCGCGCTGCGGGACGGACGCTTCCCCCCGCTTCCGCGCGAGTGCCGCGCGCGGCCCCGCCCCCCCAAGCAGCCCAGCGAGGAGGAGCGGGAGTGCCAAGCGGCATGCCGCATGCCGCATGCCGGGGGGCCCCAGGCTGTGATGTTTGCCCCCCCGCAGTCGGCCCCAAAAAAGAATTGCTACCGGGCGATATTGGCGCGATATTCGAAGTTGCTCGTGCCTCGTGCAGGTGGGGACCCTGTCCTCGTCCCATCCCTCGTTTGGCGTGTCTGTTTTCTTTCTTTCTTTTTATTCGAAGTTGCAGTCGGCCGCAAAAAAGAATTTATATCGGAAGTCCCTCCCTGGGGCTGTCTGTTTTCTTTCTTTCTTTCTGACGGTGAACCTTCTTTTGTAGACCGCTAGGATTGAGAGCAGCCTCGCTCTCAATCCTAGAAGTCGAAGGATTTGTGTGTGAGCAGCACTCCTCGCAACGCCGCGCGAGTTGGCTCCGAAGATGACAGCACCGTACGTGAAAATGCTCACTGGCATGGCAATGTCGACCTGGTCATCACACGCGACCGCCCCCCGCTGGGCGTGCTCACGACCGACACTCACGAGTGGCTGTCTGAGGAGTTCGTGAAGTCGGAGGAGCGTGACTACCCAGGCTCGATGGGGCCGATCGGAGTCCGGCGCGTGAAGTGGCTCAGGCGTGGCGCATGGAAGGACCCGAACAGGAGGCCAGTGCTGACACCCTACGTGTGCGGCATCTTCAACGGGCTGCAGGCCTGCACGGTGAATGAGCTCACGGACGTGGACAAGCAAGGGGAGGTTATGCGTGGCCTAATGGCCAACTCTCGTCCGTTTTGAGCCCACTGCTCCGTGCGTCTGCTGCCATCGCGCATGAGAGCGAAGCCACTTGGCGCAATTCGACGCCTGAAGCTATCGCGTATCGGTCGCCGAACGAGTTGCATGATGCATGCCCGACACATGGGATCAACACTTTAAAAAATAAAAACGGAACCTTCTAGACTGGTAAAAAAGTGTAAGTGAACAGCTGCCAGCGTCCCCGCCCGTGCGATCTGGGATCAACACGCACTCTGACATTAAAACAGTAAACTAAAGAAATGATTGGTCTCGCGCCTCGCGCTGTCCATTTTTCAACTCTGCGATCTCTGTCCATTTTTCAAAGGCAAACTACGTGGGGGTTGGGGGCCCACTCGTAAATACGGTACGCACTCTCACTGTATTACGTATCAGGAGCACCGGGGCGACAAACCGCATGGCCGCGTCACGCGTCAGGCAGCATGCGACACGCCCGGACCGCGATGCTGGATGCTCGGCAGCGCCGGTTGCATGGAGATGGATGAACCCAAGCGTACACGTATCAGCCCGGCTGCGCGTAGCGCGCCTCGAGCGCGCGCAAGTTCTCGCGCAAGATGATGTCCTTGGCGCCGCCCCGCACCACGCTGCACGCTGCCAAGAAGCGCTCCTGCAGCCTCGCCTGCTGCAAGCGCGCCACCTCACGAGCTGCTCTGAGTGTGTGTCTAGCAGTTTCGGGCCCGGTGACGGCGACGCCTCGTGTGGGCGGCTTCCCCGAGCCGATCGCGCGCCGCGTGTGTGCGCGTGTGGAGCCGCATTCTTGCTGCGACAGCGTGTGAGACGGACAGTGGCCGACAGACAGGCCTCGATTGATTGATTGATGAATGAACGAACAGGCTCGCCTGCACGATCTGCGGCGCCGCGTCCACGTCGTGCGCCTCGCAAAAGGCGGCCGCCTAGGCAGTTGGCCATTCACCCACCAATCAACGATGTATCAATCAGACGGGATCGCGGCGTAGAAGGCGGGGCCGCCTTCGCCAGCAGCGAGTCGACCCCGTGCAGCAGCTCGCCCAAGCCCACCACCGCGTGCGCCGCATCCGAGGCTGCCGAGGCGGCGGTGTCAGCGGAGGCGGCGGAGGTGGCGGAGGTGGCGGAGGTGGAGGCGGTGGCGGAGGCGGAGGCGGAGGCGGAGGCAGCCGTGTGTGCTGCTGCTCCTCTGCTCACTGTGCGAGGAGCGGAGAAAGCGCTGCCGCCGCTGCCACGGCTACCGCCGCCGCCGCCGCCGCCGCCGCCGCCGCTACCACCGCCACGGCTGCCGCCGCTACCACCTCCACGGCTGCCGCCACTGCCACCGCCGCCACTGCCACCGCCACGGCTGCCACCGCCTGCGGAGCGCGGGCTGGCCGCCTCTTGCGTCGCCGCCGCGTCGAGGTCGATGGCGTTGGCGCGCGCCTCGCGGTCCCGCTGCTCGCGGCTGACGGAGCGCGTCACCACAACTTCGTCCTCGTCTGAAGAGCTCAGCTCTACAGTCTCTGGTCGCAGCCTGCCTTCGGGCGTCTGCCGCTCGGCGCCGTTTAGCAGGATCGTGTAGTAGATCTCGCCCGGGTCGTCGGTATGGACCTGCTGCACGATGGCTGAAGCAGCGAAGCTGCCCTCACGCACGTACACGACCCGCTCGCCTCGCCTGAACCTGGGCTGTGCCACCCGACAAGCGCTGCCGCTGATCGGCCGCTGCCGCACCCGCCGTGGAGGCTCTCCGCCTCCGTCTCTGGCGCGGCGCAGCATGGCGGCGGGAATGGCGGCGCCGCCGCTCTGCACGGCGGCGGCGGCCCGGTTGGGTGGCATCTGTCTTAGACACATGTGTACGCAGGCCGACTGACCAAGGTCTTCTCTTGCACTGGAGGGCGAATTTCTTTTCTTTAGTTTTCTGTGTATCTCCGGTCTCGCGTGATGCTCATCGCCGCAAGTCGACCGTCCATCCCCCATGTCCATCCAGTCAGCGCATGCATCATGGCGGTGCGTTACCGCCCAGACACGCGCGCTTCACACCGCCTGAGCGATTACCGCGTGTCACGCAGGACCGGGAGCGAGAGGCTGCACGGATCCTCAACCCAGCAGCAACGGCGTACGAAGTGCTGGGTGTTCCGCCAAATGCGACCCATGAGCAGATAGCGGCCCAGCACAGAGAGCTGCGGGTCCGCTGGCATCCGGACAAGCACAGAAACAGCCACGAGCGGGCAACGCAGATCTTTCAGAAGATCGAGCAGGCCTGGGACACGCTCCAGGATCCATCTCGCCGCGCTAAATACGATCAGGAGCTGCGCCGTCAGGCTGTGAGCCAGGACGCATTCGCTGGTGAGGGCAGCATCGGTGCGACGTTGCGGAGCGGTGCTTACGGCCGTATCTTGAAGGCGATGGAGGAACTTCCACGAGGCTTGGCCGACGACCTGTTGCTCCCCCAGATCGTGGTTGTCGGGTCTGAGAGTGCCGGCAAAAGCTCCTTGATGGAGCGCATCGCCATGCAAGCGTTCTTTCCTCGCGCTGAGGGCTTCTGTACGCGCATGGCGATACGGTTAAAGATGATGCACCGGCCCCACGAGAGCCGAGTCATGATTCGTTGCCTGCGCACCTCCAACGGGCAAGTCGCCATGTTCAACGGCATGCCCGCAGAGCAGCGCTTCGAGGTCGATGGTGTCCAGCACACTGTCATCCAGCGCATCATCGAGCGTTTCATCGCGCAGGTACACGGCCAAGATGATGGGCGGAGCGTGCTCACCGATATCGAGATCGAGATCGAATTTCGCGCGTGCAACGTCCCGACTCTGACGCTCGTTGACCTCCCTGGCATCGTCAGCATGCCCGCAGATGTCCGGCAGCAGACGCTTGAGCTCACGCGCCGCTACTTGCGCGATCCGAACACTCTCGTGCTGTGCGTCATCAATGGCAACGAGGCAGCTCTGCGCGGATCAAGGGCTCTCGAGGAGATCAGCGAGCATGCGGTCGCCCGACCAGCCTTTTCCAAGACGATTGTGGTCACGACGCGGACAGACCTCTGGGTGCAGAGCAACGGGCTGGTTAGTCTCGCTCGAAGGCTGGCCGATCCCAAGAACGAGGTTGGGTGCGAGCCGGTGGCTCTGATTCCGGTCATCAACCGCGAAGCACCGAAAGAGAATCAAGTGGATGGTTACTCGCTGCCTGATCTTGTCAAAAAAGAGCGCGCGAAGTTCGAGGAGTGGCAGGCAAAGGAGCCGGGGCTACGGGGCAAGCCGCTTGGCATCCTAAGTGTACTCGACGCGCTGAATGACCTCTTTGAGACGCATATGAGCGAGGTCTGGGTCCCGCAGGCGAAGAGAAAGCTGATCGAGCTCAGGGCGGCCACGAAGAAGCAGCTTGGTGATTTTGGGGACCCACTCTCCGGGTTCCACGGCGGATGCTGATGCTGTGC